CTTATTTTTTTCTTTTAACACGATCATGGTTGATTTTTAGTTCTCTTTTTTTCTCTTGTTTGTATATGATCTTTCTAGGTGCTCTACAATTTTTTTTCCTTTTAGATTTGAATGGCCGTTCTGAAAACTCTCCCCTGAATGGAGAAAGGCATGGGATAAAAATAAGCGTATTGACTGTTAATTGTGAGGTGCTAGAGGGAACAGAAGAGGGAGATAACGTTTGGTTGGTTCGTGATGTTGAAGAGTATATTACAAATTTAACAAAAGACAAGAAGAATATAACACAAGAGTAATACAAGTTTCCAAGTTCAAATATATTGGATAAACATTGCAAAACGATGTGAAAATTTAGTGTTGTCAAAGTGGATTGTAAACGGCGAGCCAACCCGACTCATCACGGGTTTGAGCCGGGTTGGGTTTGAAAAAAATGTAATTTTTTTATGCGGATTAGTTTTCAACCCGGCTCACGCTGGTTGAACCCGTGGTGATCCGGGTTGGCTCACCAACCCATCTAATTTAATTTAATTATTTATTATTTTGTGTTTTAATATTATTAGTTAACATTTTTTATTATATTGTAGATGGGATAAAATAAAATGTTTCAAGAGAGACAAATATTATAATTTAATTATTCAAGACTTTAATATTATAGATGGACAAGTGATAAAAAAATTATCAATATTAAAAACTTATTTATTCACCTTTTATGCTTGTTTTTGTACTACACTTGGACAGTATGATATATTTTTTTTTAATTGTCTTTGAGTTTAACATCATTTTAAAATGAAATTTATTTAGATTTGAATTAAAAAATATATAATTTTTTATTTTAAAAAAACTTATAATTAAGTGAGCTAGTGAGTCAACCCGTTTAACCCACCAACCCGTGGTGGGCTGGGCCGGATCGAGCCGGATTACCCGTTTTGACAGCTCTGGGAAAATTAATAAGAATGTCACATTTAGAATGGGAAAGGGATGTCTAAACGGGAGAAATGCATCATGAGTTATTTTTTATCTCAAAGTATCTATCAAAATTTAAGACACTCTGTGGTATTGCTATGCATCTGGTTATACTATATGGTATTGAATGTTGGGTTTTTAATGGGGCAAGGGAAAAAATGAGAGTGGCATAAATAAGAATGCATTTCCAGCTAAACAAGACAGAAAAATATGCAAAATGATTGTATACAAGGTGGTATTTGTGTGACCCCGATTGAGGAAAAGATGACGAAAAATTGGTTAAGGTAGGTTGGACACAATCAAGAAAGGCTACTATGACACCTGTGCGTAGATTAGATTGAATGGTTTTTAGTTCACGAGGAGGGGGGAGGAGGAAGATAAAGAAAGATATTGGAGGAATTTGTTCGGAGAAATTTCATGGTAAATTATATCTTTGTAAAATATATGACGAGCATGGCATCATGTGATTTATATAGCTAATCTCACTTAGTGGGGTAAGGCTTTTACTCGAAGAGTTTAACAATGGAAATATATGACGAGCGTTTGGTTGGATTGATTCATTTGGGAACTAGGATCAGGTTTACCGATGCATTGGGATGGCTCCCACGTAGTGAGATCTATTTTTTGTTATTGCAGCCATTGAGCTGCTATTTGATCACTATAATGTTTCTCGCGCAAAATATCAGTTTCAACTAGAAATCTCGTCATCTTGTTGAATTCTTGCTTGTGGGTTACCAGAAATATAGGGCTTTTATGTCTAATTTGGAAGGTTGTTGTGTTCTTTTTGCAGGGAAGGAAGTGTTAAAGGACGAGCAGTTCCTTGAAACCATAATCCAAGGTGTCTTAGTTATCTTAATTTTTTTATGTTGTTGAAAAACATTAAATTATAAATTTGATATCAGAATTCTCTCCCTGTTTCTTGACAAAGAATCGACGTCGTAATTTTCGAGTTTGGGTTTAATTTCTTTGTCTTTTTTCATCCTCTTTAATTCAATGTATTATGTGGTTTTTGATTTCATTTTTCCATAAGTATCTTTCTATGGATTGTTCGTTTCACTTGGTTTAATAGTAAAAAATGGCATTTGAAATGATGAATTTTTATTTTTATCATAAATATAATTTCTTATTGGATGAATAACCTTATCTTAAAACCAATACATCTTGTGAATCTGATCAAGAATCATGGAAAATAGTTTATATGAAAGGGATTTTGGCAAACCAAATTAGTAAAACATCTTTTTGTAATATTACTGATTAATACTGTGACGTCTTTTATCTCCGACTACTGATAAATAGCTTGTTTCAATGATCAATCATTGGTTATCCCTTGCAGCTCCTGAACAAGAGTGGAACAATATTTTGATCAATGGATTGACAATTGGTGCGGGGAATATTTCAGCAGAGGAGCTCTTCGCTGTCTTAAAGAAACGAATTGAACGCGTTTTGATTCGAACGGTGAGACAGAGCTTCGTTTTTATTCGTGCGGTTTTTGTTTATTTTCGTCCTCTACTTAACTGATGATGTTTCTTTGATTTGTCCTTCTTCTTTCTATTCACTTCGTGCTGCTAAAAAACAAAGGAGGGAGGCTCTTACCGACAGCGCATTCTGACAGAGTACCTGAGAGGCATTGAAAAAAGAACAGAGGAGATTGTTCAAGCGCTTCAGGGGAAACCACAATAGCATTTTCTTCGAACCTGAAAATGGCTTGGCAGTTAGAATGTCATAAACCAAAGTAATGTTCTGCATGGTGCTGGAAGTGGGTTATTATTTGTGAAGCAGATCAAGCTGATTCAATGAGCTGGAGAAATATAATCACATATCTTCAATCAGTAGCAATACTCAAACGGATCAGAAGATTGGCTTTCAGAATAGTATCTGTCGACTTTCATATTCAGGTAGCAGGTTAAGTAATCTCTACTGGAAGAAAATATACATATTTATTGTAATATTGGAATCTGGAAAAATTATTTTAAAAAATAAATATAATCATTTGTGGCTTAAATTTTGTTAATGTTTTCTTTTTAGTTAGTTTTTGTTTCTATAACCTTAGGCACTTGCATCTGGTTATTTATTCTCAACCTGAAGATATGCACCTAGAGTGAGTTGCAATTCTTTTTTGAGACAATGAAATTTGAAACATAAATATATAACATTATTATTATTATTATTATTGATGAAAAGTGTTCTTAAGAATTTTCAGCATGCTGTTTCTTTAAAGAATTGCAGAGGATTTAGATCAAATTCACGTGCGTGATACAACTCCGGGCAAATAATTGTAGGTTATGTATATAGGGCTTAAAGATTGTTATAGCTTTCTAGCACCATTTAAAATTTATATCCAATCTCAAATAATCCAACAATTAGTATAATAAGTGATTAATCTGAGCGTAGCATCATAGTTTTTTTAAAAATTAGGGGTATTCATTGAAATAGGGTGTATATCATTTTGATAATTAAAATTGTGATAATTTGACTTTTTAAATGAATAAAAAGGTCTTAAAGTGATAAATGTTTTTAAATATGTTTACTTTTCTTATATTTTTTATTAAATGACATTAATGTCCCTAACATTAAAACTTGTGAAAACTAAAACATAAAAAATATAAATATCATTTATTAAAAATATAAGAGATAAAGTCTCATTTATTGGAAAAAAGTAATGTAATTTATATAAAGGAGATATGAGAAGGTAGATGTTTATCTAAAAATTACAAAGAGTAAGTTCGATTTGGTTAAAAACATAAAAGGACTATATACAGAGTTGGTGTTATTTATTTAGTACAAAAGAAATGTAACTAAATTTTCCTTTTTTTTGTGGATTCCAGATTGAAATTGTGAAAGAGCATGTGAATGAGTGTTTTCCAGAGAAGGGTATTCTAAATATTTCTTAAAAATATACGGAATTTATAATTGTTATGAACGCTATTATTAAAGTGTTATAAATCTTGGCATCATCTTATTAATATAATATACAATTTGTGAGTGTTGTATCAGGCTGGATGATTCTATGAGTTGGAAAAGCCACATTGAAGACTATGTTTACTATGACAAATGCATATCCATTTTTGGTGGATATATTAATGTATTCATTTTTTATTGAAACTGCACCTGAAATATATCTTGAGATGATTACAATATTTTTACTAATACATTTTCCTAAAACATAATTATATTTATGTTACATTTTTTAATATAAAAGAAGACTAATTAGCAAAAACTTATTTTAATTTATGACTCTTGCTTAAACAGTGAAATATGGTGCATTGCATAGAATTTTGGCAAGTGGCTTCTAGTGAACGAAACACTCATCTCCTTCCACCTTTGTTTTCCTCGGTTGTTTGGTATGATTCCATCATCATACTAACACTACCACACTTCGCTTCAAATTAAAGCTAAAAAATAACTAATAGACCAATAGTTCAGAATTTCCACTCATAATAAATCAATTTCTGAATTGTATATTTACATTATTGACCACTATCAAATTATCACAATATTAATTTTAACATTAATTAACTTAAAACAAATTATCATTATTTATAAGATTGTGATTAAGTCATTATTAATCTAAAGTTTAATTCAAAAATTATAAATATAAATTAATATAAGTGATTATATTTATTATCTATTAATAATTATAAATGTTAAATATTGATTTTCATATCGAAATATTTTTTTATAGATAATTTCAAATTCAATCAATCGAATTAAAAAATGAATCGTGATAAAAACAATTTAAAAAACTTATAACATAGACCTCATAGAACAATTTCTACTTTCAGTCGATGTTTATTCTAATGAAAAAAATTGTCATTGACCACCATTTACAATTGTCGTAACAGAACAAATGTTGAAATTGACGGATAAGTTTGTATTTGAATTACTTTATTTGTTTACTTTTAATATAAATTTTTTTATAATTTTCTTAATATATAAAAAATAAAATAATTATAGAAAAATAAAAAATATATATTAATTCCCGGAAATTAATGGTTGATAAATATGTAATAAATGGCGATGATGGCAGAAATGCAATAACAATGTACCATTTGAAACTTCTGAAGGGTACAGTACACTACTTATAGAAATTTGATTCCGATCTCTCTCTTTCTCTTACTTTCTCTGTGTCTCTCGTTGTTCTTTTTCTTCGTAAATTAACAGACATACCCAAAAACCATAGCCAGATCTCATCTGAAAAGAGAAGTGAATATTCTCGTTCTCTCTCATCTCTCATACATGCTTATCATCACTCTTCTGTCGGTGAACTTGATCTCTTTGTTGTAATCAGATCTGAGGTAAATTCGCTCCACTTTTCAATTCCGCGTTGCATTACGAATCCACCGAGTAATGGTAATTCCGAACAATGAGATTTGATTTTCATTCTGATTAGTCGGAATCAGTGAGAATCGGTGGGGGCAATGTTAATTGTTAATTACTATATCTTGTAATGAAATTAGTGTCCGAGGTTGGTTCCATTTGAGGCGAGAGAAACGTTTTTCGTGTGTCGGAATGGGGATTGGGGTTTCGGGTTCTTATTGAGGCATTGGAAACTGGAGTTTTTATCAATTTGATTGGATCGTGCAGAAACGGTGTTTGTGATCGAGGGAAGATGCTTACCAAGTTCGAGACCAAAAGTAATAGAGTGAAGGGACTCAGTTTCCACAGCAAGAGACCCTGGATCCTCGCGAGTCTTCACAGTGGCGTGATCCAGCTATGGGATTACCGAATGGGCACCCTTATTGATAGATTCGACGAGCATGATGGTCCGGTCAGAGGTGTTCATTTCCATAATTCTCAGCCCCTATTTGTCTCTGGAGGTACCTTTTTCACAACCCGTCTTATGTTTTTGAATCTGTAATTTACTATCTTCAATTATCCTTACACTGATTATACTCTGATCCGTTAGTTATATATCCTTTATTGTTGTTGGTCTGCTATATCTGAATGGGGGCACTTAATTACAACCTCCTTATGTTTCTCCATCTTTAATTTTCTATCTCCAATTTCCCACATACTGCTTATCTCTGATCTGTAAGTTGTGTATCCTTTATCGTTGTTGGTCTGCGCATATTTGAAATATTAGTGTCAAAATATTAGTTGTTAAGGAGACATGTAAACTCCACTATAATCCGGTAAATCTTGCCGGTTTATATAGATTTGTTTGTGTAAGAAGCATCTCTCTTTCTAGATCTGCCATGCTGAACGAATAAAAGTAAAATTATGACTGATGACTCATATTTGGGTGTCTTGGAGAGGAATTTACTGCATTATATATAATGCTTCTTTTATTAGTTCATATCTCTTTGCTCGCCCTTGGTTGATGAAACAGGATTATAGCATGAACAGTAAGAATGGTGGATTTGCATATATGTTTTAGTGTAGTTGAAATGCTCTGGATCTGCAAATTAATAACTAGTATAAATCTGGCTTTTGAAAACAAAACAGTGGTGCATGGCATCTTGTTCTAATGTTTGGGTTCAGTGTGATCTTCTGAATGTTTCATTTGTCACTTGGAGTGGAGAAGATTTTGATGTGTCATGTACTTTGATAAAATAAATTATTGTTCTAGTAGAATGGGGAGGGGTTTGTACTTTATACAATTTGACTATTTTTTTTCTTGGGACAGGGGATGATTACAAGATTAAGGTTTGGAACTATAAGATGCATAGGTGTTTGTTCACTCTTTTGGGACACCTTGATTATATCCGCACTGTGCAATTTCATCATGAAAACCCATGGATTGTGAGTGCCAGTGATGATCAAACAATTCGCATTTGGAACTGGCAGTCACGGACCTGTATATCTGTTTTAACCGGGCACAATCATTATGTTATGTGTGCTACATTCCATCCAAAAGAGGATATTGTTGTGTCGGCCTCCCTTGATCAGACTGTTCGTGTTTGGGATATTGGTTCTCTCAAAAGGAAGGCTGGGCCTCCTGCAGATGACATTCTACGATTGAGTCAGATGAACACAGATCTTTTTGGAGGTGTTGATGCAGTTGTTAAGTATGTATTGGAAGGTCATGATCGGGGTGTCAACTGGGCTGCTTTTCATCCTACACTGCCTCTCATTGTCTCCGGAGCTGATGACCGACAAGTGAAACTTTGGAGGATGAATGGTAAATTTTAAACAAAGATAATTACTTTATATTCTCCTAAATAGTAACTACCTAGAAATGTCAAATTCTTTCTGTTCCGAATTTTGTATTAATGCTATTCTGATTGTTATGAATATTAACAAAACAGTGTTTGGGCGAACTTTTTCTTGCATTGTTGGTAGCAATACCTTTCATACAGGACAGTACTTTCATGCATTAACTTTTTAGTGCTTAGTTATCCGAACCAAGTATAGTATTTTTATTGACCTTCTCAATGTTCCTAATATTTTTCACCTGTTTTCAGACACTAAGGCATGGGAAGTGGATACTTTGAGAGGGCACATGAATAATGTTTCATGTGTTATGTTCCATGCCAAACAGGACATCATTGTGTCAAATTCCGAGGATAAGAGTATTCGAGTATGGGATGCCACAAAGCGGACTGGAATACAAACTTTCCGCAGAGAGCATGATCGGTTTTGGATTCTTGCAACACATCCTGAAATGAATTTGTTGGCAGCTGGTCATGACAGCGGAATGATAGTCTTTAAGCTGGAGAGAGAAAGACCTGCTTTTGCAGTCAGCGGCGATTCACTATTCTATACGAAAGACAGATTCTTGCGTTTCTATGAATTTTCTACACAGAGAGAGACACAAGTACTTACAATCAGACGACCTGGCTCCTCAACTCTTAATCAATGTCCAAAGACTCTTTCCTATAGTCCTTCTGAAAATGCAATTCTTCTCTGTTCAGACGTGGATGGAGGATCTTATGAGTTATATTGCATATCCAAAGATAGCACAAAGGACAGTTTTGGTAGGGGGGATATGCAAGATCCAAAGAAAGGTGTTGGAGGATCTGCAGTCTTTGTGGCTAGGAATAGATTTGCCGTCCTTGACAAAGGAAGCAACCAAGTCTCTGTAAAAAATCTGAAAAATGAGCTTGTGAAAAAGAGCGCCCTTCCAACTGCTGCAGATGCTATATTCTATGCTGGAACAGGCAACTTGCTATGTAGGTCAGAGGATAGGGTTTTTATATTTGATCTACAGCAGAGGATTGTTCTGGGTGATCTGCAGACCCCTTTTATAAAGTATGTAGTCTGGTCTAATGACATGGAAAATGTTGCTCTGCTCAGTAAACATGCAATTGTCATTGCTAGCAAGAAGCTTGTGCATCAATGCACCCTTCATGAGACAATCCGAGTAAAAAGTGGAGCCTGGGATGACAACGGCATTTTTATTTATACTACATTAAATCATATCAAATATTGCCTCCCCAATGGAGATAGTGGGATAATAAAGACACTGGATGTCCCCATCTATATCACAAAGGTTATGGGAAACACCATCTTTTGCTTGGGTCGGGATGGGAAAAACAAGGCTATAACTGTTGATGCAACAGAATACATCTTTAAGCTTTCCTTGTTGAAGAAAAAATATGACCAGGTAATGAACATGATAAGGAATTCACAGCTTTGTGGGCAGGCTGTGATTGCTTATCTACAACAGAAAGGGTTTCCTGAAGTTGCCCTCCATTTTGTTAAAGATGAGAGAATCAGATTCAATTTGGCTTTGGAGAGTGGCAACATTCAAATTGCTGTTGCATCAGCAACTGCAATTGATGAAAAAGATCACTGGTATCGATTAGGGGTAGAAGCTCTTCGACAAGGGAACTCTGGTATAGTAGAGTATGCATACCAGAGGACCAAAAATTTTGAGAGACTATCATTCCTTTATCTCATTACTGGTAACGTGGACAAACTTTCAAAAATGTTGAAAATTGCTGAAGTGAAGAATGATGTCATGGGCCAGTTTCACAATGCCCTATATATGGGTGACATAAGAGAGCGTGTCAAGATCTTGGAGAATGTTGGACATTTGCCTCTTGCTTACGTCACTGCATCAGTGCATGTACTACATGATGTTGCTGAAAGGCTTGCATCTGAACTTGGCGATAATGTTCCATCTGTTCCCAAGGGAAAAGTACAATCTCTCTTGATACCACCGTCACCTGTGTCGTGTGGTGGTGATTGGCCTCTTCTCAGGGTCATGCGGGGAATATTTGATGGTGGGTTTAACAATACAGATCGAGATGCAGACGATGAAGAGTTCGAGGCTGCTGATGGTGATTGGGGCGAGGAACTTGACATGGTTGATGTTGATGCATTACAAAATGGAGATGTTTCTGCAATTTTGGATGCAGTAGAAGTGGCTGAAGAGGATGACGAAGAAGGGGGATGGGACCTGGAAGATTTAGAGCTCCCACCTGAAGCTGAAACACCAAAAGTTTCTGTCAGTTCACGATCTTCAGTGTTTGTGGCCCCAACAGCCGGGATGGCCGTTAGTCAGATATGGATTCAGAGATCTTCTCTTGCAGCTGATCATGTAGCTGCTGGCAATTTTGATACTGCGATGAGGTTACTGAACAGGCAACTCGGGATAAGGAACTTTGTCCCCTTGAAATCTATGTTCCTAGATCTGCATACAGGCAGTCATTCCTATCTGCGTGCCTTTTCATCCGCACCGGTTGTAGCAATTGCTGTTGAAAGAGGTTGGACTGAGTCATCTAGTCCAAATGTGAGAGGCCCACCGGCACTTCCTTTCAAATTGTCTCAATTAGATGAAAAACTCAAAGCCGGTTACAAGTCAACAACTGCTGGAAAATTTTCTGATGCTCTTCGCACCTTTATCAATATTCTTCATACCATTCCTTTAATTGTTGTTGAGTCAAGGAGGGAGGTTGATGATGTGAAAGAATTGATTGTCATAGTGAAAGAGTATGTTTTGGGGCTGCGGATGGAACTAAAAAGAAGGGAAATTAAGGACAGTCCAGCACGCCAGCAAGAACTTGCCGCTTATTTCACCCACTGCAATCTTCAAGTGCCTCACTTGAGGCTAGCTTTGCTGAATGCCATGACTGTCTGCTACAAGGCAAAGAACCTTTCCACGGCAGCTAACTTTGCCAGGAGATTACTTGAGACCAATCCTACTGTTGAAAACCAAGCTAAGACAGCAAGGCAAGTGCTGGCAGCTGCAGAAAGAAATATGACTGATGCCTTACAATTGAACTATGATTTTCGGAACCCATTTGTAATTTGTGGGGCAACCTATGTGCCCATTTATCGTGGACAAAAGGATGTCTCTTGCCCCTACTGTACTTCCCGTTTCGTGCCAACACAAGAGGGACAGCTATGTGCTGTTTGTGAGCTTTCGGTGGTTGGGGCGGATGCTTCTGGATTGCTCTGCTCTCCTTCCCAGATTCGTTGATTGCACTGGATCAGGAGCGATTAATGAATTTTTGTTTCAGGTCAATTTTCAACAGCAGATAAGAGTCCTATTCATCAATTAATATATTTTTCTGTAGAAACTAGAAGTAGTCAAAAGTTACTGTTTGAGTGAATTTCTGTCTTTCCTTTTTTCCATGGTTTCCCTTTATGATTTTTCCCCCTCTTCTAAGTATAAGAAGAAAGGGGACAAAGCCTATTATTAATCTTTCGTGCATGTGAAGTTTTCTTGTATTATGTTGAATTAATTTTGTTAGTTTGAGTTGGAAAAAAGTAACATTTTGAGGCTTTAATAAACGAACTTATACAGTAATTCATGATTACTTTTTAAAATAACGACTTGTTTGCAGTATAGACCATTTTTCCATTTTTCTGCACTTTTTAATTGCCCAATTGTCCCCAATATATGGGTACTCCTCCTCGTCCTGTTTAGGTTGCATGCCCTACTACATTATAGCTTTTGTGTCAAAACGTTTGTTGTGAATATGATAAATCCTATTAAACGTTTACCTGTCCTGAAGACTCCAATTTGTCTCAATTAAATGTTAACCCTATTTCTTTTAATAATAATAATGGTTTTGGTTCAAAAATTATATGATCGATGTATTAATTGTATAATTCAAATTAATTAGTTGAATAAACAAAAAGTTATATTAACATATGTAAATTTAACTTTAATATAAAAACTATTGTTTCGAAACTTTTTTAATTGGAAAATAGCATAAAAGATACAAATAAGTCTGCATCTGAGTTTTATTGGACGATGGCCTTTTTTTCTCTTCTCTTAATTTGTTTCGATTTCACTTTCTTTCATCTCTTTCACATTTTTAATTCATCCTTTTTCAACGAGATTTTTGAAGAATTGTGAGATTTTTACATATTTGATCTTTGTGTGTCTATTGTTTCGACCAAAATATCGTGTTAACATAAGCAAATGGTTTTAACTTCAAAATTATATTCAAGTGTTTTTGAGACAATAGATAAATTATAACCAAAACATAATAATTTAGTCAGTCGAAATAGATGAGAACAAATATTGATTCTTAATTTATATTCCGTTTTAATCAATCATTGACTTCTTTCTGTTTTAAATTAATTTTCCAAGCAAAATTAGATTGAAAAAATGTTTGACCTAACAAATTATTAATGAATATTTATTCAAAGAAAAATAATATAATAGTTTGAAAGCTGAGCCGTACAACAAAAGACACTGTTAACTTCGTTTTCTTGTTGTGTAAAAGAAAAGAAAAAAATAAGTTATTGAATTAAAAAATCTTAATGTCCTGTAATATAAAACGGAACGAAATATATTGATTTAATATATACAACAATTTTTTTTACCATGCATTGCAT